AGAAACATCGATGAGAGAGAAACATTCATCAGCTGCCTCCTGCACAATCCCTACTGAGGTTGTGCCCCCAACCATGGTACATGCCCTTGATCAGAATCGAACCTGGGACCCTTGAGTCCGCAGGCCTACGCTCTATCCATTGAGCCAAATCAGTTAGGGCAGTCCAGTAGTTTTTTATGGAGTATTTGGAGTTTTCTATGTAAAGTATCATGTCATCTGCGAATAAGGACAGTTTTACTTCTTCTTTTCCAATCTGGATGCCTTGTAATTCTTCTTCTTGTATGATTGCTATGGCTAGCACTTCCAGAATTATATCAAACAGTAGTGGTGAAAGTAGGCATCCCTGTCTTGTTCCCATTCTTAGGGGAAATGAGTTCAGTTTTTGCCCATTGAGTATAATGTTGGCTGCAGGTTTGTCATATAAGACTTTTATTATGTTGAGGTATGATCCCACTATTCCCACTTTGCTGAGAGTTTTTATCAAGAAAGGGTGTTGGATTTTGTCAAATGCTTTTTCTGCATTGATTGATATGATTATGTGATTTTTGTCTCTCAGTTTGTTTACGTGATGTATCAGATTTTTGATTTGAAAATATGGTACCATCCTTCCATCCCCAGGATAAATCCCACTTGGTCATGGTGTATGATCTTTCTAATGTAATGCTGAATCCGATTTGCTAGAATTTTGTTGAGGATTTTAGCGTCTATGTTCATCAAGGACATTGGGCTGTAGTTCTCTTTTTTTGTGGTGCCTTTATCTGGTTTTGGAATTAGGGTAATGCTGGCTTCATAGAAAGAGCTTGGAAGAGTGCCTTCCTCTTGAATTTCTTGAAACAGTCTGAGGAGGATAATTTTTAGTTCTTTGAATGCTTGGTAGAACTCCCCTGTAAAGCCGTCTGGACCAGGGCTTTTGTTTGCTGGGAAATTTTTGATCGCTGCTTCAATTTCTTCGTTAGTTATTGGCCTATTCAGGTTTTTTTTATTCTTCTTGATTGAGTTTTTGGATCTTGTATTTTTCTAAGAATATGTCCATTTCATCTAGGTTGTCCATTTTTTTGGAATAGAGTTGTTCATAGTATTTTTTCATAACCATTTGTATTTCTGTGGGATTGGTTGTTACTTCACCTCTTTCATTTATGATTTTGTTTATTTGGGTCCTCTCTCTTTGCTTCTTGGTGAGCCTGGCTAGAGGTTCATCAATCTTGTTTATCCTTTCAAAAAACCAGCTCTTGATTTTGTTGATCTTTTGTATTGGTTTTTTTTTGTTTGTTTGTTTTGGGTTTTTTTTGGTCTCTGTCATTTATCTCTACTCTGATCTTTATTTATTTCCTTCCTTCTGCTTACACTGGGCTCTTCTTGTTGCTCTCTTTCTAATTCTTTGAGTTGTAGGGTTAGGTAATTTATTACTATTGTTTCTTGTTTTTTGAGGTAGGCCTGTAGAGCTATGAATTTCTCTCTCAAGACTGCTTTCACTGTGTCCCATAGATTTTGGATTGTTGTGTTTTCATTGTCATTTGTTGCCATGAAGCTTTTTTATTTCTTCTTTGATCTCTTTGGTAACCCAACCGTTGTTTAAAAGCATGCTGTTTAGCCTCCAGGTGTTTGATATTTTTATTGTTTTTATTGTAGTTGATTTCTAGTTTTATGCCATTGTGATCTGAGAAGATGCTTGATATGATTTATATCTTCTTGAGTTTGAAGAAACTTTGCCTGTGCCCCAATATGTGGTTTATCTTTGAAAATGACCCATGTGCACTTAAGAAGAATGTATATTCTGTGGCTTTGGGGTGGAATGTTCTGAAGATGTCAATTAATTCCATCTGATATAGTGAGTCATTTAGGATTGCTGTTTCTTTGCTGATTTTTTGTTTCGAGGATTTATCTGATCACTATGGCAAGCACTTCCAGTACCATAACAAAAAGGAATGGTGAAAGTGGCTGCAATGTGCAGGGAGAGATTTTTGACCATCTTATTCAATGAAACTGCTAGTCCTTCATCTTGGTTTTTGTCGTTATTTGAACAAATGTCTATAATGAACTGGGGACCTTTTCCAAGTTCTTGTTTATACCAAGGAAAGTAGTTTGAGACACTGTCAGAATATGAACAGGTGATAACAGCAGTGTTTCCCTCCTGGACACGCAGGGTATGAGGATGCTGATCCACTTTCTCTCCATGGCTGACCCCTATGCAGAAAGAAAAAGCCAGAGGAAGGAAAACAGTGACCAAATCATTATGCTTCAGAATTTTCTTTTCCTACAGTAACTAAGAAACCTGAATAAATCCAGTGTTGGCTTCGAAAGAATATCCACTAATATATTCTGTTTCCCATAAACCCTCAACTCATGGTCCAGCTGCAGCCACAAGAACATGAAGAAAGCTCCAATGGACGTCTTCATCATTCTTCCTACTCAGGAGCAATTGTGGACCTGCAATCACAGCCAGAGCTACTGCTGTTATCAAGTTACCCCTCCTTTCCTCTGACCATCATAGGGGTTTCTCACATTCTACCCAGCCAATAAGGAAAAGACTGTGCTTCTGCCAAAGCCTGTTCTTTCAGAATCCACTAAAATGCACCCTCGACATGTTCTGCATCCACAGAACATGTGGATGCACTGCTATCTGTGGTTACATTCACCACTACTGAACTTGCTGTTAAATGTTCTCTTACCCTGTTACCTATGAGAGACTCAGACATGCAAAGGCAGCAATAAGTGAAACAAATTAACTTTATACCAGAGATTAAGGAAGAATGTAGAGATTAAGTTTTCTATCCTTGCAAACTACTGAATCGTTGTTAATCTGTTATATAGAGGCAGAAGCTGCTGGTATTTATTTGCTCAACGATGGCCTGGGTTTACATGTTTGAAATCAGGAAAGCACTCTTAAACAAAGAGAATATAAAACATTCCTTTTTAGCTAAATCTGTCATCATCATTTTCTGTTATGAAGAAAAACTCTTCTAAAAAAGAACATGTAAGTCAAACAGCAGAGTACAAGGGAGGAGATCACTCGATATTTTAAAGTGCCTACTTGCTCATGCTGCTTCTCTTAGCAGGTCTTGCCTGTGACCTTCCTATTCCCAGAGAACTGACGTTTTCCCAGACCCAGGCTATAGAAATCTAAGTAGCTGGGCTTGCATTACACAGTTTCTCTTTGCTCAGAAGAATGGTCCTGCAAGATGGAAGTAGAATAAAGAATGCTAAAAAGGAAGTGAGATAATCTAATTTCTTTCTACTCCCAATTCATTTACTAATTATTTCATATTTGCATCTTGGATTTTGTCTCTGTCTTTGTAAAATAAGGTTGGACCATCAGATATTTAAGGGTTCTTGAAGTTCTAAAATTTTTATATTATTTTTATAGTCTTCCTCAGTAGAAGCTATTTTTTCCTTTATTTGAACATATTGTGGTGACACCGGCTAACAAAAGTATACAAGGTTCAGGTACACAATTCCACCACTCATCATCTATACTCTGTATTGTATGTTCACCACCCCAAGTCTCTGTTCATCACCATTTATCCCACCTATACCATCCTCCATCTCTCCTTACTTCCCCTCCCCCATAATCACTACACTGTTGCCCATGACCATGAGATTTTTCTCTTTATTTCTTTTTTGCTCAATTCCTCCACCCCAACCAGCCAGCCAACTCTCTCCCACAGCTTTCAGTATACTCTCTCTCTATGATTCTGTCTTTGTATTGCTTGTTAGTTCATTTTGTTCATTAGATTCCACATGGTGAAATCCAATGAGTGAAATCCTATGGTACTGTAACCCTATATTCATTTCAGCATCACTCACAATAGCGAAGACATGGAGACAACCTAAATGTCCTTCAACAGATTATTGGATAAAGAAGTCGTGGTACATAGACAAAATGGAATAGTATTCAGCCATAAAAATGATAAAATATTGCTTTTTGCAATAACATGAAGGATGTTTAGAGTATCGTGTTAAGTGAAAATGTCACATGGAAAAGGAAAAAAACCATATGACTTCATTTATATGTGGGACATAAACCAGAAAGCAACAAATGCACCAACAAAACAAATAAACAAACTTACAGACACAGACAACAGAATGGTGGTTACCAGAAGGGAAGGAGTTTTGGGGGAAGATGAAGAGGGTAAAGGGGTCAAATATATGGTGACAGAAGGAGACTATAGTCTGGGTGGTGAACATGCAATACAATATACAGACAATGTATTATAGAATTGTACACCTACAACTTTTATAATTGTATTCATCAATGTTACCCCAGTAAACTTAATTTTTAAAAATAGAAATTACCTAAATGGATATTTTTTGTTAGTGATGTGTGTAAACATGTTGTACAAATGTATCGATATAAATCATTTCAATTAGGTGACCCAAAATAGTGTTCCGCACCAGGTAGCTCAGAATATAACTTCTCATGTCACCCAAGCTTCACTAATTTAGGAATATTGTGAGTTCATACAATTCATTTGTGCTCTACAATCCTCACTTTATTCAGGCATGAAAGGACAAAGAGTACTTATTTACAGGTTGTTATAAGTACAGAAATAGATAATATATGTGATAAGCTAAATTGAGTTCCTGATCTTCAAACGAATTATTTTTCTTATACTTGTTATTTTCGGGAGTCAATAAGCCTAATACAAACTTTAAAAAATTTACATAGGCTCCTTCTTTTTTCCTTGAAAGTAGAAAAATCTGACATCTAAAAAAATGAGTCATTTCTTTCTATTTCTAGATGATGCCATATTTTTCCAAGCCTTTTCCAGCAGAGTAATTTATGTGTTATATATGTATTACCTGCAAGGGGATCTGTTATCTGGATGTTGGTATCTTTATAAATTGTTTTAATGCTTACATATTAGAGATTTTACCTGGAAAGATATTTCGGGGCGGGGGGGAGGGCAGGAAACCAAATGAAATGATAGTACTGAAGAGTCTAAGTTTAGGAGAAAAAAAATGCTGGAACATACATTTGAAAACCCAAATATGTGCAAAGCCTAATGTGGGACAACATGCCTGCCCGTGGAAGGGCTGGGGCTCCAGGCCCAGCTGCAGTTTGGGTACAGGCTGCAGATCACCTGGCAGCACTGTGCCTCCGCTGCACAGAGGTAGGTGGCTGAGTCCTCCAGTTGGGAGGCTGTGATGCTCAGGGTACTGTACCGGTCCTTAGAATTCAGTGTGGAGCTTAACCTTCCACTGTGCTTTGTCCCTGAAGTCATGTAAAATAGATTGATGAGGCCGCCCCCAGGATTCTGTCGGAACCACTGCACATTGGTCACTGTGGTAGAAAAATTGCACCTCAGAGTAGAGCTGGTTCCCTCCTGGAGGCTCAGGATTGAAGGACTCTGCTCCACGTTCATCCCTATCACCCCTGCTTGGAAAGAGAAAAACAAACACATATGAGGTCACTGGGGGTGATTGATGTAGTTTTCAAACCGGTACAGCATCCCAAGAAACACCAAAGTGGAGCTCTGTGTCAGCTCACCCTCCGCCCCCCTCCCCGCCGCCGGCCTCTTCTCTGTCAGCTGTGGACCACTCCCCAGCTCCCCATCTGGGACACCCGAACTCACAGCAAACCTGGGCCCACAGAAGCCCCAGAAGAGCCCCCAGGTGTCTCTCCATGACGTCTTGCCAAGGTGCTGTGGTGCCTTTGCCCCTGCTCTGGAGGGAGTAGAGTCCTGGCCAAGGCAAATTTTGTTCCTGCACTCAGTGTGTTCACCAGACTCACTGAGGACCAATCACCTCTCAGCTCTGTCATTCATCTTAACAGCAAACTCCACCCACATTGGCCCAGTGAGATGGCACAGTCATCTCTCCAAAATTGTGAATACAAACAGTGCAGGACTGTAGGAGTCAATGTTTCCAATAAATGAAGGTATAAGCCGGCGATTTCTCTTAAAACACATTATATAAGAGAAGTTTGTGGAATAGTGTATGAGGAAGGGTGGATGGTGTTTCTAGATTATCAGCGTTTCAATGGGTTATGTAGAACTTTGAAGAAACCTACGAAGAATGACCCAGTTCCTAAATTGCATAGTTTGACAGAGAACTTTTTGAATTCAGTTACATGAAAATTCTGATACAGGAAAACTATATGATAGCATGCACTGTGTATTGCAGAAGTAAATGAGTTTCTTGACATCAGGAGATTTTTAGAAACCAAGACATATGGTCACCATCTGCAGAGAAAATAACTTCAACAAAATTTGCTTGATGAAAAATAGAATTTGTATATAATTTCCACTTTGACTTAATTTCCACCTCTCCCCTTCTCCTGTCCAACTCTTGGGCATGCTACTGACCCATATAGCTGATTCTGATCCAACCACATTTTGCTGGTCAAATTAAATATTGTCCTCTCTCTTTTCTTCTATATTTGTTTCTTATTTTCCTTCTGTTTTCTTCTTTTTCATTTATTTTTGTTCCTTCTACTTTCACAGAGATAGATGAAAAGGTAGGTTATTTGGAATATGGGAATAATTTATGGGTCAGTAGATTTTGGAATTTTAGTCCTAACAATTAAAAAACTGAAACGGGTTATGGCGATGTTTACTATTGAGCTTCCATGCTCACAATGACCAGTAGTATTCTTACTCCTGTACCTCTGCTCAGAGAATCATTCTCACAATGTATTTTTACAGTATTAACTCCAGCTTTCTGAAGTTTACATAGAGTGGCAGAGCCAGAAATCTGAGGTGAACTCTACACAAACACTGTTAACTATCTCCTAACTTTTGCTGTCCGTACTTTGCCTTGTTCACATGCTATTGATCTCCTGACTTAATTGCTCAACCCTCAGAACCATAAGAAAGTCATCTTTTGTTGAGCCTACCTTGCCCTCTAGTGGGCCAAAACCATCAATAAGGAGGACTTTAGAACAGCAAACTCAGCAGTCACACAACCCCAGCCCCATTCCCTCTGTTTACTGGTTAACTAAATGCAGATTGTTAGAAAACCAAGAGACTGCCAAGGCTGAATGGAGATTAAAAATAAACAAATTCACCTACATGGTCTTATTAACAAATGTTACCCCAATAAATAGAATAAAAAGGAGCCAAATTCTACTTTTAAAGTGTCATTTCATAAAAATAATTACCTTAAAATAATTTGATAAATCTCATCTTGTGCTATTTGCTTGATTTATTTACCTTTGATTGCAGTAAATCCATAAAAATTTATTGAAGTTTTAGTGTAAATGAGGTAATTCAATAAGTCTTAAGAATATACAAAAGAGACATACTCATTTACAGGCTACTAGGGAAGACAAAAATATACATAACTATAATACAACCAGAGTAGGAGCCTAAGAGGAGTGAAAACTAAAACTTATATGATCCCTGAGGAAGAAAACTGCTTATACTTGGGGTGGTTGAACAAAATCTGAAGATGTTATTTTCTTCTTTTCTCCTTTATTGGTGAGATGAATAAAGAATATGAATAAACTTTTATAACAGCAATGACTATTAATTTCAACAATAGGAGGAATTCATGAATATGAATTATTAAAAGTAATAAAACATTACATATAGACTAAAATCCCCTTTGAATATCACTCCAAATTCTCACTCTTCCATCACTTATTCCTCCAAATCTTTCTTGATCCTGATCAATTTGCAGTAGATGGTTTGGGGGTTTTGTACTATAGGTTTAAATCAATAGAAAATATATAGTATAGTTTTTAATTTATACTTTATCATAATGCAAATAGACATATTGTGCATACCTTTCTGTAACTGGTTTTATAAACTCAATAATAAATTTAAGTCTTATGTTAACACACATAGGTCCTTCTGCTGAATCATATCCCATACTATGGGTATACTACTGTCTACATAGTTCTTCTCCTATGAATAAACAGTTAATATGTTGGTTTCTTATCTATAAAATACAACACTACAACAAGCCTTTTTGAACATTTGTCTTCATTCACATGCACACATGTTTCTCTAGAAGCAAAGACTAGGAAGAGTGAAGGAACAGTCTATGAGAATAGTAGGTGAAAATCACTCCAGGCAGAGGGAAGATCAGGGGCAAAGGCTCTGATGGAGAATGGAATGAATACTGTTCTGATTATCATGCTGAATGTTTTTCTATTTTATTCTTCTTAATTTGCATTGGAACTATCATTTATGAGCTGATTTGATAAACTTTATCTGAAATTATTGTCCTATAATGCCGCTAGTATGTCATTTATTCACCAGCAACTGAGGTCATTCTATAGTAAGTCAGCAAGAGAATAAGTCCTCTGAAGGACAAGGAGTGTGATATAGAAGGGGGAAATATTAAAGAATCACACACACACACACACACACACACACACACACACACACACATAATTTAAGGATACTGGAGAGAAAATATGTCACATTTTTCAAAGCAGCAGAGAGAAAAAAAATTTTCAATGCAACAGAAGACAGATAAAAAGAAAAGAAAAAATACCAAGAGCATGTGGAGCAAAACCAAAATATTAGAAATAAGTCCAAATATATCAGTAATCAAAACATCTATAAAAAGAAATTATTTGATTGAATCAAACTTTTAAAATCTTGCTACATATCACTTAAGAGAAAATCCTAAAAGAAAACAACCAAGAAAGCTGAGCACATAGAATCTGACTCTTCCTGCTGCCCTGAGCACAAAGACTGAAGCCCCACCCACCCACCCACTGCCTCCACCACACCCACCAAAGAGATACCCCAAAAAAGGTCAATGCTGCTGAAGGGACAGTCTAGGGAGCTCCAAGAGATCACCAAGTTAGGGAACTAAGTTAACTCCTACAAGGCAGGATCTAAGAAAAATACAGAGGTTCAAAAATTAATATTCAGATAGGAAGAAAAAAGGAAAACTGGCAGAGATGAAGCATTAAGGAAAAACTAAGATTTACAGAAAAGGATGAAACTAAAACTAAGATAATTCTATACCTTATATAGCAGAGCATAAGGAAGCCAACTGTTAATAACAACTTTTACATTTTTATCAGGGGTCCCTCAACCTTCATTCTTTTACAATTCAGAATCTTTTATGAACTATTTCTGAAAGTACATTTCTAAACCCTCTAAAAACATATTAAAAGAAGATGGAAAACACTCATTACCAAAACTGTGTGTAGCCCTTAGCTGGTTTGGCTCAGTGGATAAAGTGTCGGCCTGTGGACTGAAAGGTCTCAGGTTCTATTCTGGTCAAGGACACATGCCTGGGTTGTGAGCTTGATCCCCAGTAGGGGGTGTGCAGGAGGCAGCTGATCAAAGATTCCCTCTCATCATTGATGTTTCTAACTCTCTCTCCTTCTCCCTTCCTCTCTGAAATCAATAAAAAACATATTTTTAAAAACTGTGTAATAATTTTGTGCTCAAGGACTTAGTAAAAAGTTGAATCAAGGTAGGCTTTAACTGTCTTGCTTATAAACCTCACACTTATTTATTAGGAGGGCCATTTTTAATATCTACACTAATAAAAGAGAAAAATGGTAATTGGCGTACGACCGCTACCCTTTTCATTGGCTAATCAGTGAGTATATGCAAATTAACTGTCAGCCAAGATGGCGGCCGGCAGCCAGGCACTGAAGCGAGCAGGGAGGCTTGCTTGCTGCAGACTCCAACGTTCCCCGCCT